TCATCGAAAATTTATTTCTTTTTACCTTGTTGGACAAATGCACTTAAAAGAATAAGTAGATTATCGCTGGCTGTTGGTTTGCTGGAATTTGATTGCTTCCATTGAATTGCTGATTTTGTCATTTCTTTATTCTCATAATACTCCCATTTAATGGATAAAGAAAGCAAACAGAAGACGAGAATTAAGAACACGGCAATCGCTATCCAAACGTTACGTTGAAAGGGTAGAGTGAATATATTGCTTACGGTTGATAATAATGGTTGTCGAAATATAAAACGTGAGCTATGTAAATATTATAAAACATATATAATTAATAGTAGTTTATATGTAACTAATTTTTTTTACTTCGCATAAATATCGATTTATTAAAGTAAAAGTTATATGATTTCCCGTCTTTTCTTCTAGTTCTGTTCTTAGACAGAGGTAGAAAATAGATGAAATCATAATTAAGTTTAATAAATAGTGTTTGCTTATCTTACCCGGTCTGTGTGTACAATTGGATATATTGCACAACACCGAGACGTTCTGATACAAGAAATGTAGCGGTGCCACCGATATCGATCTCGCGTCGCTCCAGCATCCCGATCATTCCGCTCCAAGATCCATTCTCTGTACGATATCCCCAACTATCGGTAATTTCGAAACTTATCCTGTAACGCATAAAACAAAACTATGGAGAATTTTGAGTCAATGATATATCTTAAAGCATTTCATATATAGTGTATAGTAAATTTCAAACTCGTGATTCGTCACATCGTATTTCATTTTCGCGAAAATGATTATTTTAACAACAGAAAATTGTTACTTAATTTAAGAAATTTGGAATTATTAGTACTTTTTTTTGAAAAATTATTTCTAAATTCGTGTAAAAGAAAAATATTTAATATATTGGATAAATATATATTCAGAAGAATAAAAGTTTATTTTTTCATTGAATGTTTTTAATGTGTATTTATAGATTCAAGATGACATAATGATTATGCAATTTTTGTCAGTTATATGGACATTAATGGACAAATATGTCATGCGTGACTTATTTAATTATGCGAGCGCTTTTATTTATGCTGTCTATTGTTCATTATTACTTGATTGAAAATGATTTATAATCGTTTTTGACGAATGTGTACTATAATCGCTTAATCACTTCACTGTGACCTCGTTAATTAATCTTGAAATCGGATTACGACTTTATTGCGTTGTTCTGAGTCTTAAATTCACAATTTAAAAGTTCGCGAGAATATTCGTCAATCGTTGCCATTGGCTTTAGTTGACATTCTAACGTAAACGAGTCATTAGAATATTTTGGCATTTTTGCAATAATGTCGAGATAGAACTCACGTTGCATTCATCCGATTCGCTAAATGAAGCATCCATGGATATCCAGCTTTCGTGACAGGATCTGTTAATTTATCTTCGAAATCAGTTAGATGATTAATCGTATTGGGATCAGTCATCTGTAATCGCAATAAATTTTGAAAAAATACATTTTTATGTTCAAAAAAATTTTAGTAAAATGTCTTTGACATTTTACTTGAAGTATTTGATTTATATAAAAGTGTCTTGCATAGCAGATGAATACGATAGTATTTGTAAAGTACCACGAGAGCAGATTTAAGAGCAGTCTGTTGAAGATTTCTTCTACGTGCCGAAGCCACGTCGAAATTTTTCATTCGTAGACCATTTTCAATCGTCCAATTCCCGCGATTTTCCCATATCACACCTCGTTGTGGGCTCGGTCGATATACGGACATTATTTGAAGAAAATCACCGTCGAACCTTTGAGCGAGAACCACGTCGCTATCGGGATAGACGGCTAATGTTTCGAAGATTTCCGATATTGAATCATTGTATATGAAAGCTAATTTGTTATCATTCTTATCAATTGATATATTTCGATTCTGGAAGAGCAGCCATTTCGTGGGGGCCACAAACATATTTGTCGAATTTGCCTGCCATATAATATTAAGTAACAAGCATTTAATTAATTAGGAGTTTAATATATAAAGTAAAAATGATAAAACTGTTTATGATTGTAATTAATTTGAAAATCAATGATTTTCATTGACAGTAATATATAATTTGATCTTATTGAAGTCAAAAATTAATTGACCAACTTATTTTTATATTGTTATTATTCGTATACAGCAATAAAATAGAATTTAAAAATTCAAAATTAGAAAATTCGGAATTTAAAAATTCAATTTTATTTGATTTCGTAAAAGAAAATTAATTTTACTTTGATACAGAATAGTTGAATATCAAAATATATAGTGTTCATATGGATTTAACTTTAGGCGAGAATTTTAATATTTACAAGAATGATGAACTCGTGAAGGTATGACTTAAGTGCATTATCTTTATTGTTTTTTTTTATGGGTTTAGCCAGAAATTTTTTTGCAAATCATATATAATTATTTGTACTTTTATCCGTAAAGAACGTTTATTACCTGTCGTAAAACATCAAGAGCGTATGAACAATCTAAATTTAACACGTACAAGTTTCGGTGTTCTAGATTGTTATAAATCTTCGAGTCGAATTCTTCGTAAAAGTTACGAATGCTATGAATCAATCGGTTACTCGATAGTATTTTCGATAATTCAATCGTGTTATCTGCAAAGAAGATAACGGAGTTAAGATTAGAATCTCCCCTTAAATATTTTTATAAATAAGTATTATTTTATTATCTATACGCGTTATTTTTTATAATAAATGCCATGAAACTGTCAATTCATTTAAAGTTTTTCTTTGGAGGATTATTTATCGAAATTTTGATTTTTCAAGAATGTCTTTTTCTTTGGCATATATGTATATATTGGTATTTATTTTCAGTTTATTCGTATCTTAAAGAGAGAGAAAGGAAAGGAAGAGAGAGAGCGAAAATTTGGAATGAGTAGGTACATTAGTATAAATTAATACAAATTTTAAAAATATATAAATCCAAAATTTGAAAATAGAGACAATATTTAGCCGAAAAGTCAGTGCCTGTTGACGTAATTGTTACAGATTTACACAACATTTTGGCTCTGATTGGCTCTTCTCTTTCTGTTATGATTTATATAATATCGAAGAGCTTTTTTAAAATTTCTTTATCAACTTATTTTCGTTTTTTGCAATTAATCGCGATTACATTTGATCGATCAATCAGCATTTAATGTATAAAGAGCACAAGGACAAAAGTCTTGCCGTAGTCAATGCACAGTTGTAGAAACAATTTCGTAGGTGGAAATAGAATGGGCGTTCCGTCGACGATAAATCTTACGATAACGTCTTCGATACGAGATGACGCGATTGCTTCATGGCCGCATGATAAGACGAGGATGTACAGGACAACGATGATCATCGCGATCGCTTCTGTTTCCGCGGAAAGACTGCAAAGATTTTCTTTGGGTTTGTCGATATAATATCGATTATATTCGTGTACATTTCTTATTATACCGCGTAATTTCTCGGTATACATAGGAGTAATTTCGTAAGTAACATCGCAAATTCGCGTAGAAATGGAGAGCAATCAACGATAACGAGCGCTATTACGGTCTGTGAAACATTCAAGGATCATACGATGACCGTTGAATTGACGTAATATCGTCTGTCAACTAGATTATCTTTCAGAGATATCTTTTGATAACACTTGTTTCAGAGTAAGACTTGATCTAGCTAACTTCTTCGTTTTCACGAATGTTTTCTCGTCTCTTTGAATGTACTACTTGAGACGATAATTATAGTGTAAAGACTTGATATATATTACTAGAGATTAGATTATCTTGCTATGTTCTCTTATCGCGAAATAAAGATTTGCACTTGTTTGGACGTCGTGTTAACATTGAATAGCGATCGTTGTGCTCACATCATTGAATTCACATTATGTTAAATGTATTACATCTAAATATAATAAAATTAGAAATAAAAAAAAAGCTTTTGATTAAAAAGGTATTCTCGTTTATTATATGCTCGCAATTACGCTTTTCATATCAAATAATTAAATTCAAGATGAGACGGTTTCATTTAACGTTAAAAATATAAATATAGTATCAAGGATTTTTCTCAACTTAATGCAAGTACTGTTTTTTCTTTTTTTTTACTTATTGTTCAAGCGCTACTTAAAGTAGATTTAATATAAATTATATTTACAATGCATAATGTAATTTTCTATTTAGAATTGAACTTTTTTTGTATAAATATTTCTTTGTTTTAAACCTATCTGACGAAGGCTCATCTGCATCCTCAAGATGACATGTATAAAACGATAATAAAACGTTTTACTTTCGTTTATACATGTGTTATAACACGGTCATAAAGTGATAAAGATACAACGAACACAGTTCATACAATCAGTCTTGAAAACTTCTGATCCATGTGTATTCAGCATGTCATTGATTTAAAATGGAATTCTTCCAGGTATCGAGCTGTTGTCACTTAATTATACGAAGGGTTAATCACGCGTTGGCGGAATTGCATATATTTGTACACCTGCATTTTCTATTTAGCTTCGAATGAAAGATAGACATTGCAAATTAAGTGTTTTCGAAAATTAAATGTTGATTAAGTATCAAAATAAATTTATATTTATATATAACGAGAATTTGACGGTTGTAAAATTGCACAAATCAATAAACAGATTTGAATATTAGATTTATTATAATAAATTGTCAATCGAGTAACTCTTCTTAAATATGTCGTGATCCAAGTGCGAAGCGTGTTTGTTGAGGGGATCATGCAATATATCACCAATTAAATGAAGCGTCGTAATTAGCGAGCGAATAATCGCGCAGCCAGATGAGAAAGGCACGACAGAGTTGCTCATGTAACAATATTTCACAATGTTTCACAAAAGATGATTGCATGACAATTCGATTTGCAATACTTGACAACTGGAAAAAGGAGATTATGTCATATCTGTATTATTTTTCCATTTTTATTAATTTGTCTTTATATACATATATTTAAGTTTAAAGTACAGTAAAAATAAATATTAATAATAAATATAAGAATGTACGAATAAACTATAAATATGTAAGTAAAAATTTTTACTGACTTCTTGCAATTCTCTCTTTGCGATCGACGTAGACTTGACATGGTTTTTCAAACACTCAAGGATTACATATAACAAATAATACATATATTTTTTTTTTGTAATGTCTATAAAATTTTTCAAATAAAAAGAAATTGATTATTATATTATTAGCTTTTGTCGAATTTAATAAAATAAATGTTTTTTAACGAATCAGCCGACCTTGTTGGCTGCTTGCATTGGCGGCTCGCGTGATTAGCTAGTGATCGGCACGTGAGACGAGCCTCCCGTTGCTTCCTTATCAGCGCTTACTCACGAGATCAGTGTCGGCATCAGCAAACATAGTGCACGACATGCATCAGTCACAGCATCATACGCAAATCGCACGTAGACCGAATTAGTCTTATGACCGTGGATTGTGATCCGACAATCAGTTTTATTGTCGTGTTAAAACAGCCTGCGAATGTAAAATGTACGATAGAATATCTCGCTCGCGAATGAGATGATCCGTTGTGCAATATAAGGCGTGTGATTTTGATCGTCTCGAGCAGCTAGGACATTCTATTGTATGGAATTAAGGTCGTGCTATAAATTATCTCTCATTCCTCTTGACTTTATACGGATTTATGTTGAAGCAGTTTGACAGAATCGTTAGGTATAATTAGTTTAGAGATTAGTCTTTAGTTTAGAAATTGTTTCTTCTTAATAAACATAGAATCGCTTTATATATCGGAATGTATACACATTATTACAAAAGAATAATTTCCTTAATATTTCTTTAATAATTATAATTTTATCAACATTGCGGGGAAAATCCCATGTTTATCAGATATTTATCGATCAATTCAAGACATTTTTTCTGTTCTCTTCAGAATTTCAAGTCATTAATGTACTATCATATATTATTAAACACGTGTATCGATTCTATCAATATTCGTATGGTTTATCAGTTGATAATTAGTTATGAGATATGATTATATATTTTCCGACTATGAAGACAATTATTTTCTGTTTCGAAAAGACAGACGGAAGAAGGTTCGTGTTTTTTCACCGGAAAGAAAAATTTCGTTATATGTTTGCTGGATTAATAAAATAATTAGATTAAAATTTGTGTCGCGTGTACTGATAAAAAAAGAGATGGAAATCTCATGAGACGCTACACTTTCTCGCTTCTTAAAACGTTGACCCGGTATAATTGCGCGCTTTCACCGCGGAAACTTTTTATACGTGCCAAAGTTTCCGTAAATCATGAACAGAGAATCATTTCATCACACAAAAAGCGCCGAGACCGTCGTAAATGTATGTAATTGGCGACGATTCAACACGATAAAACATACAGGCGATGTCGCGTCGCCGTCGGATTTATTGCATGAATCATTGAAATAATCGCAACGTTAATAAAAACATATCAACGCGAATTTTTTTTTTTTGACGATTCTCTTATCGAAGACTTTAAAATTAACAGTTGTATCGCGGGGTGTAAGATACCCAAAATTAAATGGTAGTTTACTCGACAAAGAACATGATTTTTACATCTGTAATATCCTGTTCGCGGGATTTTATATATATATATTTATAATTAAGATTATATTATTTATAAATTATTCGGTTTAGAGAATTTTTATATAAATTAAAATCTTTTTATTAAAAAATTGATAAATATGTCAATTGTGTCAACTGCTAAAATTTTGTAAAGAAACAATGATTTTTGGGTTCATAAGAAAAGAAATAAAGCATTTAATTAATTATTTCTTTATAAAAAGCGTATTATATCACGATTTTCAATTCTCGAGTGAGCATGCCGCGTACTATAGTATTCAATCTTTTCATCGCTTGTGTGTCATTTGAATTTTACGACAATGTTAAGAACCGGAATTGGTGGAAGTAAAGAAATTGGTATAACTTGCTATTCAGGAACGGCGTGGACCGTGCCAGTTTGTCAACCCATGAACGAGGTCGCAGTGATG